CTATATATTAGATCTACTATAATAGTAAATACAGCATATGGTATTATTTAAAACTAAAAAACTGTGTAAAAAGTTTCACCATGATGAGACAATAATCAGAAAATTTTTGCATGATTTTACCTCTATGAACAAACAGGTGGCAAACTTAAATAACAGCTTGTAAAAATCAAGTTGATCTTCAAATAATAATAATTTTTTTGTAAGAAATTAATCTACTTCGTTATCCAGTACTGTAATTTCTTTTCATTAATCTGAAGTGATAATTAAGAAAACATGAATATCGCAGTAATTTTATGCATAAGTTAATTTTATTTAATTGAACAAATTGATAAGTTTAAAAAAAATGCAAATTTAATGATTACATGTTTTTACGATTCAAATAGTATCATGATTCATAAAATTTTTAATTTTACACATGAATCGTATAATTGAAAACCAATGAAAGACATTCCATTTTGAAGTTTATCAATCACCCCAGCATTTAGTTTAGCCTCCAAAAGTTTTAAAAACTCCGTTATATGACATTTTATAAACATATATTGGGTTATGACGTCATACAGAGCCATGAGATTTGTAGAAACACACATATTTTGTTTATCGAGTCCTGATTGACTTCTTGATGAAAGAGTAGCTTCAAGTTTTGAGTAACATGTCTCGTAAATTTATTGTTCCCAAAGTTATGGGACTATTAAAAACTGACTATTTTTTTGGTCATGAGATCATTAATGGGGTAATGATGGGTTAATACTTTTAAAAGCTTTGATTGAAAAAGTGTTTGTTTGTGGTGGAATTTGGTAGCTTAGGTTATTGGGTTATTGGTGAAATATGACCTGATGATACCTAAGTGGTTGCGAATTTCAGGCCAAATGACTCCACGAAACAGAAGCAAAAACTTGAATAAACTTTCGAATCAGAGACAAAAATATTTATTTAATACGTGCAAAAGGTGTCTTCCACGAAAAATCCGAGCGAGAAAATTGTGATGATTGGTTAGCAGTTAAACGTTAGACTCTTGCCTAACGGTAAACTTTTCTAGAAAGCTTTCTACTATATCACTCAAAAGAGTACATTAATTGCAACTAAAATCACAACTTTTTTTCCATTTTTGTGACATTAATATTTTGCTTATGTGTGTTGGTACGAAACTCGTTGACTTAATGTTCACTTTATAAATCTTCACTTGGTTCAGGCATCGTAGATTTCTGTTCATAGCATATTTTATGTGAGAACCAAAAAAATGTGTGGAAGCTTTCGGAAGCTTTCTTGGGAATACTTAATGCTAACTCTTCAAGGTGTTTTCAAAAATAACATTTATCACCTATTTCTTTTTAACAATTATCTGATTAAAATTAGTAACATTCATCATAACTACTTAAAATTTTACCCATACGTCACGATATGTCTAAGGTCTAATTAAATGCCAACATAACAACCACTTTATAATCGGACGAAAGTATTCAACCTCCTGTATTTGATACTATCAACATCTATATCAAGCTTCTTGCATGTGATTTTTAGTCGAACAAAAAAAGAAAAAAACATCTTTAAAATTAGATTAAAGGATTAATTTTTTGTTCATTATTATGTGCAAAAGTTGCGTGACATATTTTATTAGTTACAAAATCTCAAGATAAGTCCATTGACTATACGACAGTAACAGTTTTTTCGGTTCCTTTCTGACAAGGCCACGTTCTAACTTTTTTTACCACTGTATCGTATGAGCTTAAATGCATTATTGAAGGTGTACTTGTTGATACAACCATAACTATTTACGAAAAAGCCGTAGCGACCTTGGCTTTCATTTAAATATTTCAATCATGCATCCCCTTTAGAGATATTTTTTTTAATCATTATTCAGTTACTTCTCTTTTAAGCCATGTATCCAACAACGAAAACTTTTTCACTAGAATCTTTGTATCTCCTTATACTCATAAGAATACAGTTATATTCTTTTTCATTTCCAAACGATATTGTACCGCATGAAGGCTCGCCCATGAATAAAAATATCCTTCCCTCACAAAACATGACAGCCCGAAATCTGTAAGTATTTCCTTGAATGTGTCAAATTTCCTTTCGCCCCTGCCTTCGTCTTAGAAAGCCTGTCTACGGACGAACACGCAAAAAAAGTCTAATTTGAAAATCCGTGAAAACCCTTCCGGGTATCTTTATCGCAAGCCCTACCTGCACGGCTACACAATTCACATTTGCTTTGCGCGATACAATACACATGCACAAGGGCGGTACAGTAAACCATATATAGCGAGGGAGAGGCTGATCTGGGAGCAGGTATCAAAGCCAAGGTTTCCCATTCTGTGAGGCTTGACTTAAGCTTCCACGGGTGCGCATCATCACCTGCGCGTGCACGTGTATAATACACATGACACCTTCATCCACACGTAAACAGCAGAGCTACAGATGTAGGCCGTCACGTGGCTTCCTCCAAGAATCATCTGTGGCCCCCACGCCCCACGCCCCCAGCCCTGGAGCCTAGTGTACACACACACACACGCGCACATGCCGATATGATATGGTACAGCATACGTATATGTGTGATCTGGTACGGTTATCCCGCTGATGCGGAGCGCGTGCGCAACCGGGACAAGGTAGGCTGCTCCTGGAACGAAGACGGATACATCGGAGGGTGGGTGTGCGTGCTCTTAGGTAGGTCGGGGAAATGAAGATACACAAGGTAGCCTGCCACCTAGACAGCTATGAAATTAAGAAAGAAAAGGAAAGGAACCAACGGTGATATAACGCAGGACTAGGAAATGAAAGTTATAGACACGACATCCGGGGGGGAGGGAGAAATTGGACGGGTGTACGGCTGATTTTTTTCTATTGCTTCGTGGGGGCAGAAATAATAATAATAATAAAAAAGGTAGGGTGGATGAGTATTGAAAGTTAAATGAAAAAAAAAAAAAAAAAAAAAAAAAATTGAAGGTTTGGTAGAAAGAGCCAAGGGTGGCAAGACAAATTAAGTTTGGAGCTGATACGTGACTCCTGTGTTGCAGCATCTGTTGTGACGAGGGGTGGCTAGGATACTTGGTAGTTTTGAGAAGACGGAATCGTTGTTTGGTTTCGAGAATTTTGTTACGTTGAATAATTTTTTAACGTCAACATGCAATATTTTTTCCCCTTGACCTTGAAGTACAAAAAAAGCTGGAAAAACAATGGATTGATAATTAATGCGCCTGGGGGCTTCTGTGTTGTCGTGAAAAATTATATCCACCCTTGATCAAACTTAACTTCACAGGCTTATTTTTGTGGAGTTGAGCCTTGCGATTACTCCAACTGACGTACATTGATGTAAGAAATTTGCCAACCAAACGAGATTTTCAATCATTTTTATGTTTTATTTCACGGAATTAATAAAAAAAATTTAAGACAAGGCTCATCGACAACATCCATCAAGTATTGTCAGAAGTTTATCACAAGTTTTACATTGCTCATGAAAATCTAGGAATCTGCCAGACTACAAAGTGATATATCTCCTCCATGAAGATGTTGGTACGTTGTTTCTTCAACACTTCCACTCGAGATGAAAAGGTTTAGCATCGCTAAGTACGTATAACCTTGTTAATGTTCGTACTCTGTAACTTCATTTTAAATACAAAGTTTTGATAAACTAGGGAAAACTTTTTCCCTAATTAACAAATTTCCACCACTTAACGAGGCAGAATTTTTTAATCAAGATCCATTTTACGGGAGTCTGTAAAATTCAAGTGTTTATACGCCTGACCTAGAAAAGAATATATCCAGCGAACGAGAAAATATTGTTCCGGTCGGAATACATTGCTACGCGCCGGATAATTAAAAAATCAACGTTGAAAATTAGTTGGAGCACTTAATTTTCATTAAACATTGAGTTGAAATGGTATTTTATCAATTGACCCTAAAGAACCTAATAATCAGCTATTTCAATGTCGTATTCGCGTGGAGGTAAATAATATTTTCTGGGTATATATACGAAAAACCAATGAAACGAAACGCAATTACTCGCCACGCATAGGATCATCAAACAGCAGTATTTCCTATATTAACGTCTCATATAGAACTACAAGGGCTTTATTATGGTGAAAGCTTTCGCAAAGCACTAGTTGCGACCACTGCATTATTTCCCAGCTCCGAAAAAAGCAAGGTCTCCTACAGGTATCTCAAATATGCATGACGACCTCATACGGGACCCAAGCTCTGCCGGAATAATGTGAGAAGACAACGAGCGATGAATATCTCGCCCGGGTGAGAAAAAAACAAAACTGGCCTACAAAGGATGCAAAGGTCACGAAGGAGCTGAGACAAAGATAGCAGGTCCAGGGAGGAGGATGAGCATCGCGCCGGTATGTGCTCAAACGGAGGGAGAGACGTCAAAGCGAGAAGGGTGGAGGAGGCCGAGGGACAGGTGGAGCGCAGGCAAAGAGGCCTCGCGCACGCCACCGAGGGGTAAAAGCAGAAAGAGGGAAAGGGAGAGAGAGAGAACGCGAGCGCCAGGCCTCGGAGCGCTTGGTGACTCGCTTCAGCCTCGGCTGGTCCGCCGCGCCGCTAACATCGTGCGCGCGCTCGTCCTACCCCGTTTATTTTGTTACTAGCTCTCCTTTTTTTTGTCGCTTATCAACAAAGTGCTGTTTGAAAAATACAGACAATGACAAAAACACGTTTTCACATTGGTCATTGATTCGTATCGACTGAGACAAATGTGGTAAAAAGTACAATCAACCCAGACAATCGACACTTTTAGTGATATTTGGATGAAATATGCTCCGGCTTTCCGTGGACTTTCACGAGTGCCGGACGAGACTTATATTTTTCGTTGGTTAACCAGTGCAAAAACAGAGACAAATGTGCACTGACATTTTTATAAGTTCAAACGAAACCAAGCGGATACAAGTTGTTTTCGAAAACCCACGGGAGGAACAGTGGTGGAAAAACCGAAGATAAACAAAGCTGGTGAAGTATAAGTTTGGAAAGAGAAAGACTGTGTGAGGGTAGAGGGGAAAAAAGAGAAAAGTTCAATCCAGCGAGAAGGATGGATAAGTGGCCGGTGTCTCGGTTGCAACAACACAAGAGGTGAGCATCGCTAGCACACTCCGTCTCTTTATCAAACCACCCCTCGCGCCGTACTTGTACCATCCACATGCCGCATTTTAGTTTTCACTTTGTTCAACCGAAGCTCTTGAGGCTCCAAGATAAGCTGCGTTAGCGCCAGTAGCCAAGTGTAGGCAGACCATCTCTCTCTCTCTCTCTTTTCTTCCCCGTGCAAGCACAGAGAAGGTCATTGTTAACAGGTGTCTATTTCGATCGCGCGCGCGTTTTCCTCCGTCTCTATATTTGCTTTCTACCGAGAAGGGCTGTGTGCCTTCAGGGCACTGGTAAACAAAGCCGTGATTTTCTCCTCCAGGGCTTTGTTGCTATCTTCTTTTTTATTTTATTTTTATTTTCTCCTAAGGGTGATCGATGGCCGGGTACTCCGCACTTATGACTGCTCTACGGTTGCAGGGAGTGGGATTACAGTGGCTCGTGAAAGGCTTTAAGCTGGACTTGTATATTCCACTGTAGTTATCATGTTCTCTTCCACTGGGAGTTCTCATCTGCGGATAAAAATTTGCAGGAATACGATGAGGATAACGAGCATCTGTTGAGGTCGCGTTTAAAGCTTAATTACGGGGGACTGTTTTTGTCTCACGAATGGACTGTTCAAAAAATGCGACTTCCTTGTCATCGTCATAAGGTTTTATTTGGAGACGTATCGCCACGATTACGAGATATTTTATTTCCAGTGCCCTTAAATCATACGGATCGTCAAACACTGATTATTGCAGTAATAAATGTCTTACATTTGACTTTAGAGTTAGCTAAAAAACTTGTTGGTATTTTAGAGGATTTTCCAAACGCGTCAGAGGATATGTACATTTATTTATAGAAATTCGGTTTTTTATTCAGAATCCGAATTCAACTTTGCTTGAATGGCCATACTTCTAACTTTGGTGGGGAATTTCAACTCTTTGACCTTGTCCTGCTGACGAAAAGAACTTTGAGCTAGTCAAATTGATGGTAAAGTTATCGACAAACTTGTTTGCCTGAGAATTAATAATTTCGTGAAAGCGAGTAAAATTGCTGTCAACGTGAGTCGGGGGAAAAAAGTTGACGAATTCGTTTTTCGGCTATTAGCTCACCTCTGGCTCGGGTACCCACTTACGTGTAAACGAAAAAGTTCCTCGATGGTATTTATTCGTTGAGTGATTATCATAAAACTTGCAAACAAAGGACATTATTAGTATAATTACTAGCTTTTAATGTAAAGAATTGTTTTTTTCTAGTATATAATACTGGTTTCAAGGACAATAAGTGACCAAATATTATTAAAGACTTTAAGTTGTGACGCTGTTAAAACATTACAAAATGAATGATAATATATTTTGACAAATTGAAAATACTCTTGTGTTGTTTGCAAGTGTACAAGCAGCAACAGACAAAATTTATAACGTATTAAACTTTAGTTTCTGAACCATCACTATGTTACTTAATACTAGCTAGTATTTAAAAAAGTTATCCCGTCATGAAAGTTGACTATTATTGATTTACAAAAAATAAATTACAACCAAGGACATATTTATATTTTTACGCATTATTTTTAAAACATTTGAAAATCGTTTCGAATACTAAAAGCCAATGTTCTCACATGCCAAGAACATTACAACTACGAAACTAAAGCTACGCGAACAATGGTGCTCGGCTATAAACTCTACGAAGCAGTAAAGTTGTGAGGATGAAAGGCGCTGTCTGGCTAGCTCTTTCCTACCGCATTGAATTATTGAATTCTCAAAATTGTGTTGTACTTACACGTTGCAAGTCGGATATGAGTAGGGCTTTTTGGAAAATTTACCTGCTGGACAATCATCATGATTAAATTCTTTACATGGCATACTCCATTTTTCGTATTTCCTAGAATCATTTCTATACATAGATTTTTAGATGTATTTGTCTTTGACGTTCCAAATTATGTATGTATTTTTTAGTATTTCGAGCAGCTCCAAACTGCTTGGAAGGAATATACAAATCAAATAAAAATTATCGACGCATTGTAACGACAACTTACGTTTGACGTCATTTCCCGACAAAGCAAAAAGCTCCTTGAATAGTCGCAACATTTCTGTACTCACGTCCATAGTTACGCATTAGTAGCACGCAACGTTGAATATAATCAATAACTTGTTTTCCTGACAAAATTATAACTATCAATAAATTTTATTAATATTGTAATTCTATACTAAAAGTATTTGTACTATCATTGTACCAAAGGTTTTTTTTCCATTGAATAGTACAGCATTTAAATGTTACAACTACGATATAAGACATGCTAGTGTTTTCGTTTTTAGTACTTCTTAATTTACTTGATCAGAAATTAAGTTGTGTCGTACACTGGGTAAAAGTAAAAAATGGAAAATAATAACGTTCTTTACTCAATTGTTATAAAAATATAACACGCTACTATTTTATGAGTTATTAAATGGGATAAATTGACAAGTAAAATATGTACCATCGGAATAAGTTTAACAATTAAAAACTTATTTTTACAGTAAGTCATTAACGTAGTCCGCAAGTAGTATGTAGTGCGCCTATAAAAACAAAGGTTATCTTTGTGAGCATCATGTAATAAAAAACTCTTTTTTTTGGACTGATGACAAAAGATACTTTCGGTCTAAAATTGGTTACTTATTAAATATTGCTAAAACAAAATTTCTATGATGATAATTCTATTACATTAACAAAGGCTTAAAAAAAGTATACCTTTCAATCGGGACTCCCCAAAATTTGGACAAGTTTCAATTTCTCGGTGAGAAGGCACGTGTTGAATAAAAAACCAATCTCTTACATCTGAATTTAGGTCATTGATATCTCCCAGCTTTGAAAATATTGACTTTTCACTCAATTTAATTTTAGTATCCCTGATAAATTAAGAAACTCTTAATATTCATCAAGCATTCGATCAAGTTCTTTTTATTAATTCGTATGATGCTGTAATGGTAGTTTCTAAACCTGGTGGCGCATGTCACCAGGGCGAGCGCCAGACCCGAGGGACTCCTTTTTTCGTACCAAGGGTACACCCGACCCTCTAAAACGCCCAAGGTAGGAACTACTATTTTCTACTCAATAGTGGATATTTTTAATTGTCTATGAAGGACTAGATAATCGGCTCTATTGTCGGTAGTAAGGATCTACTAAATAATTATCTGGTATAATTAAAAAAGGACTCAAATCGAGCTACCATAAGTCTTTAAAGAAAAAACTTGACTTTGGATAAGTATCTCTTACTTGTAACGTTCCGTGGACAATTTTGAATTATTACAAAAAAAACAGTTACATCAACGAAAAACAAATAAAACAAAGGAAGAACAAGAGAGCTTGTCCACGCCTTTTCCTCATTTTAGAACCGACATATTATAACACCTATATCCACCTTCATATAAATTAAAATCTACCACATGATATACAACGTCGACACCCTTGAGCAGTAAAATAAAGTACACTGATATTTTACTTCCATTTTGTATGACCAAAGTTTTGCTACGCTCGACTTTTCACATGTGCTTTAAAATACAAACTTAATGTGCTTTAAAATTATTTGCCACACAGTACGTTTTACTTTGCTCGGCTCATTAATCATTGCATTGGTTTACCAAAGAGCGAAACAGCTAATAGCTTAAGTAATTGCAGAACTGTTGACCGTCTGCACATACATTAATCAAATTAATACTGGATATTTGGTGATAGATTATTAAATTTACCGTACAGAGACTGCCTCGTAACTACATCATCGCAGTAATAATCACATCATCGTAGAGCACGTGATATTAATAAGCTATTCAACATGTAAATTTTAGTAAAATCTGATGGATAGGATCTCGCGTGATGTATCGACTTTACGTGCTTGTAATGAAAAACCGTAACTAACGACATCGTACTTGATTATTTTTCAACAAGGCGCTTAAACGTGGTGGCATCGTGTATTTCTCAACAACAATAGTACGATTAGTTTGATCAGAGGCACATTGATATGAGCAACATTTTACACGCGTCAATGAATAATAATTTTCATGTAAGCATGCTCTCAGAATTTTTTAAAGGCACGAGCAGTGAAATAATCTTTTTTTTTTTTCGTTTGACGTTTTTATAAACCAATTCTAAGAAACGATGGAAAATCAACGATGAGAATCCATCGGGTCTATCAGGCTCTGATTAAATTACAAAGCCATCAGGAAGTCGAGCTAATCAGCGAGGTTTTTTCGAAGCTCCCGGACGTACATGTATACAGCGCACGATACATTTCCCAGCGGGCTGAGCCTAAAAAAGTCATTAGCGAAAGACACGGTGAGCTGAAAGCTCCGAAGGGCTTCGCACACACGCGTGTCCTCGCCCACTCAGATCCGCCCTATACGCGAGAGAGGTAGCGATCGATTCACCTGACCCCATTTGTTTTTCGGTGTCTGTGAGCTTGCAGCTGCCGGAGGCGACTTTTGGAGGTGGCCACCAAAAAACGGGGAGGCTGCCCAGCACCACTCGGCTAACCTGTTGCAACGTGGAGTACACCGGCACTCGGAGGCGCCAACATGTGCTGGCATGAAGCGGCCTGCTGCGACAAACCACCGCCTACCATACCCTCGGCGCGCGTGACAAGCGACCGGGCCAGGGAATAGGCCACTGAGCCGCGATCGACAATCCACAAGCTTTACCGTTGTTGTTGCCGTTGTTGTTGTTATTGTTGCTGTTGTTGTTGTTGCCGTAGCTGCCGTGCGCGTGATTTGATTGAGGACGTCACGCTGGGTCCTGCCGAGCTACCATAGACATGCTTAGCCCGAAGATGCAAAGGACTGGTGAGTGTAATCAATTGCTGGTAGTGGCAAAATGTAAAAATTGGTTTCTTTTTTGGTTTTTTTTTTTTTGGGTGGGTGGGAGGAAGTAGGAACTACAAAATGAAAAAAAAAAAAAAAAAAAGATGGAAACAAGACTTTGAGTAAAAATAGAAAGATCCCTGGTTACTTTGTTTTACAGATGATGAGCAAATTGTTTCCTTAAACTAAAATTAAATAAAACCAAGTTCAGTTGTTCACTGATATCGTCAGAAGCGATATATATTCTAAAAAATTCTGAAAAAACTAACTTTAAACATTTGTTTGGGAATACTTACACGTGTTACAAACCCACTGTTCGGATTTATGACTCGCACTGCACAGGATACTGCCTTGAATTTCAATGGGAGCCGTATGAATTTTATAAGCTTTAAAAATATTCATTGGCAGTAAAAGTCAAGTACGTGTTCCTGAAGCATCGTTTGAAAGGATTTATTGCCGTGGCTTTTCGCCTGTTACTCGATTGAATTGAAGTATTGATAAACTTGGTACGAATATGTCGTTTAACTCATACCGATAACCAGAGCCATCTTAAGCAAAGTAACGATAACGTGATACAATGATGAACGATTACAAATTTAGAATTTTACCAGTAAGTGGTACTAACAAGTGGTTGTTACAAAAATTTATGGTATGGCTAAGCTTTTATTGTGATCAGTGTTAAAATAACAATATTAGTCAAACTGAGCTCGTCACTGTAATTTTCCAAGTTTACGTAAGCGCATTTTTCATGAATAACTTATTTTGTATCAAATGGCTCTCACATAATATTTTTTGAAAAGTGTTAATGAGGAAACAGTAGAATTATTACACCTCTAATAAACTCACCAGGGTTTCCTAGTTAAAAATAAATATAATTTATTTCTAAATTAGTACACCTATATTACGGTATATTCTAAATCTTACGATAAATTCCATACCACTGTATTAAGTACACTAATTTTAATTGCTCCAAACTATTCATCAGAAGACAGAATGTTGTAAGCTTCATTAAAAACATTCCAATAAGAGTAGAAAATAATTTAAGTTTACGTCTAAAATTAACTCTTGAATTGTTCTAGATTATTCAATGCCAAAAATAAACTCATTTCCTGCAATTCAGAAAATTTACTCGATCTTATTATTATTACCATTTGACATTCGATACCTTCGGTAATAACAGTATGGGTACGATTGATGATAATAACAATAAATGATGAATGGAAAGAGGAAAAAACTTTTTATTTTATTTTAAATGGTAAAATCCAAAAAGCGGCAACGAAAATCCGCAAGCTCACAACATCGCCAGATCTATTCTGTTTCGTAGTGCGGGTGAACGAGGCTCAGCTGATCATGCTGTCGGAGAGGGCTCACTACGACCACACGATGGCTGGCTACCTGCACAAGCGTACCTCGGATTCAAACAAATGGCAGCTGCGTTGGTTTGTTCTCTATCAGGTGAGTCTCGCAGTCGCAGCACCCGTCCGTGGCCTTTTACTCGTTCCCTCTGACGGTGACCTTTCACTTTTTTTTCCCCCGCGAATCCCATCGCTTTCAGTACACGTAAAGTTTATTGTTGTTTGTTTTGGATCTCGATTTGAACGACAGTAATATCGGGAATGGAGTGCGTATGCATGTTTACCTTTGCAACGAGTGCACACATGGAAAACGGACGACAGACACGTGAAAAAAAAAAAAAAAAAAACGGGGCTGGAAGTTGGATTTGCGTTTTCCTGATATTCTTTTGAAACAAATTTCTCGGTTTGCCGAGCAGAAAGTGACGCAAGTGTGTACACGCGCGCTTTGATTTCGTGGCGAATCGCTTTGAAGGCTGTTGGTTTGATTGTTGTTTTTATATAAATACATGCATGTTTTGATGCTTTTATGTTTAGTAGAACGAGCTTTCGATTTTTCTTCTGTTACTACACATTTGAGCTTTTTTTGGAAACGTAACTTCAAAATTAACGAGCATTATGTGCTGTACTATTTTACTAATGACAATAGATCAAAATAACTATACTGCGGATGTACGAAGAAAATTTGTTTTGATTTCAGAATATTCTTTTTTATTACGAGAGCGAGGCAAGCCCGAGACCGAGTGGCATCATACTGCTGGAGGGCTGCCACTGCGATCCCCTCATTACCGCCAAGGGTAAAGACTCCGACAAGCAGGTGAGTCTCAGTCATTTACGTAGCTTGATTCGTACGCGCACGCACGAATAAATTATTACCCTGAAAAGTCCGTAGTATACCCACGATTTATCTTACATACGTATATATATATACGTGTATGTAGTTGATATTTGATACACCGCTATGCGACGTAAACAAATCAATTTAGTGAGGTGGAAGGGGGACAGCTCGAACGTGTCGAATGAGGTGACATTATTGTTGTCACTGGACACACGAGTACCTAGACGGACTGGTAAATGTTTGCTTCTGAGAATCAAAGTGGCTAAGTGTAGTACTCCAGGAAATTATTCGTACGAACGCAATGTTTGTAATGTGATTTCGTCAATTTTTAAATGATAGGTAATTGACAAAGGTACCATATTTTAAGATATTGCGTGCGATATCATACTATAATGTCATTTGGCTCCAAATGATAAAATTCTAAGCGATTTATCTATTGTTGTACGAAGTACAGTATTAAAACTTGAATTTTTTTGTTAAAACGTATTCAAGTCAAATGTAATGCGAGAGAGCAGGACTGCCAAATAATAGGTGTAGAGCTTGCAGTTAAAATGGCCGTATGGCTCAAACTGCCGAGTAGGTATCATTAATACAATAATTAACACATGCATATAAAAACTTATTGTATTGCAATTACAATCATCTCAAACTTTCTCAGTTGTCTAAAATTCAATATAAAAAAATAAATAACGATTTGGTTGGTTGAGCAGGACTATTAAATTAGTAATTAATTAAACAGTTCTGCTCAACCAACCAAATTTTTATTCATTTTTTATATTAAAAACGTATTGTATGTAAGTACTTAGTAAGTGATATACGAATTAAAATATGTGATCATGGATATACGAATCTAATATGGTGTGGTTACAGAGAGTTAGGTCGAAAATTTCGACACAGAACAATACCAGATAAATATCTTAGATTGAATAATTGTGACACGAAAAGTAATAAATTCAGGTTATAAATACAACAGTTGAATCTAGTACTAAATGCAGGAATAAAAATAATGTCGTATGAAACGACTTAAGGATTATAATCCAGACATCATTTTTAAGAGATACAGAGAAAAAAACAGAGATGTTACAGATTCATGGTTGACAACTAAATGAAAAAGGTGAGTTTCAAGACATGACCATATACAAAACATCTTTGGTGCCGTAGTGATCAGGGTGTTAATACCCTCTAACCTGAGAAACTTGAAAGAAGTCATGGATTTGAATTTATCTGTCAAAAGTTCCCAAAGTTTTTTCTTGGATTTTTTTTCTAAAATTCTTAAAGCACACTATCTTAAAATAGATATTTTTACTTTTATAATTACTCAAGTCTAAAATTATTAGTTCTGTAACAATACTACGAACTGAATATCGTTATGTTTTTGCCAAATGGTTAAGGAGGCTCCTACAACTACTGCTGAGGTCAAAGACAAACAAAAAATAAAGTTTTGTTTTTCAATAAACAAATGTGTCTGAATATCATTATGATATTTTTAATAACGTATGAAGTGGGAAAAATGATATTTATGTGTGCAGTTTAACTTTGTACGAAAAATTAATTATTGTTTTGACCAGTCTAGTGCATACGCGGGTACACCACCAGACCAGACCACCTGTGTTGGTGTAGTATAGCGATGTAATATATAGGTATATGGTATATGTATGTCGTGAACAAGTACGTCTGCTACTGACCTCCCGGACACTATTTATTTATTTCCATCACAAATATCTCGCTAAAATGGTCCTTTAACCACAATTTTTAATACAGCATATTACAGAGGAAGACTTCATCTACAAAACGTATATATTCAGTCTGCTGGGACATTTAATTTAGGTTTATTATAAACGAAAACAAATTGTTTTTCACGCTGCCCCATAGGAACACATGCTAATAGTTACAACTTTGAGCTCGGATTTCTCAAAATTTTGACCCATTCGAAATATAATTTAGATCACCATTAAATTCAGTAGACTTTTATTTACAAGAAATAATATATCTCTGTTTGGGGACTTTTGTGAAGGAGCCCCCTTAACGCACAGTGTACGCATGAGGGCAAAACCCAACTATACTATTATATATACACACACATCTTTCTACGTTATATGTACATTGATTTTCGTGGGGTTTTCCACCCTCTTCCTTACAACCCTTTCACTGTGGTCTTAAACATCCTATTAAATGAGGGAAAATTCATTTGTTTCTTTCCTTCATCTTTCTTAAGCTATTTCTTTGCAGCCCCTGCCCCCTTACTCGAGCACCACTCACCATATTCACCACCTATTAGGCAGTCTATACAATAAAATTTAACATTCAGTTACCGATTATTTAAAAAATTGCTCAGTCTTCTTTAAAAAAGAAGACTGAGCACTTTTTAAAATAAAATATGACAAGACTGTATATGTAACTTTAGTTCCAGAAACATAGTCTACGTATCGTACATGAACAGCATGATCCAAAATGTGATAATATATTTTGGTAGCTACTTCTAGTTGTTTCGAATTTTTTGTTTAAGTTTAAATTATATAAGGTGCATATGTTTTTGTACTATTATCTCTTTATTCCACATCACCCAGAATACAGATTGGCCACAAGCTTTCAAAAATAGAGTGATAATATGCTAACAGTATTGTTGAGATTAAGATCAAAAAACTAAAACAAAACTCGTGCAACATAAAAGTTTTTAGAATTGTTTGTGGTGAAGTTGAGAAACTTAGTGAACTTGCATCAAGGATTAAAGAGCCATAAAACACAGAAAGCGAAACTCATGAGTGGTTTTTTAAAAGCTCCTTAAACTGCTGATGCGCCCTTCACTTATCTCACACCCTATACTTACACGTTGTCCTGTACTACTTACTATGATTCTAGATCCTTTGAACTTCTACCAACAGATTTTCGAACATATAACTAACACTTTTTTAATAAAATAGAAGCCACCAGAATGTATGATTTTTAAACAATTTCATCATCATTAAAAATTTTGATAACTGTGCGGTATGTTTTAGTTGTGACGTCTCATAAGGTATAATTAAAATTTATCACTTCGTAACACTAAGCTTTCTTTCTATACGTAAGAATCTTAGTGATCAGCAATCACAACGTCAATGCTATTAGACTTGATTTTACGTTTCCTAACTTACATTTTTCAAAGAAGAACTGCTGGTATAAAATTCGGTGCGTGCATCTATGCGCTGATCTTTTTACATGAATCTGCCTAAAACCAAAAAATACGAGCAATCCACTGTTGTAACATCAATTATTGTGTATGATCCGCAACGAATATTTGACATCTTACTATTGAGTTGTTCTTAGTAAACAAAACACTTCATAAGGACTTACGAAGGCGAACTCAATGCACAGCTACTGTACTACGTCAGACGGAATTTCACATTTGTATACGTATGTATTTTTAGATGTATGGTAGATTCGTGATTAGAATGCTGTTTGACGTACTATTTTAGTAATACACGCATTTCTCGACGAAACTTGACAATACAACATTGAGCCAACGGATTAAAATAGGAAACGTACTGTAAGTAGGATCAAATAAGAATAAATTTGATTAAATACCGAAATTTTTGACGTAACAAAAATAAATTTTACGAGTCTTCACTCAGTGAAACATATATATTAGTATGTTATGAACTTCTGTAGTGCTCATTAAAAAAGAGTACGAAAGAGAATTATAAACTGATAAACACAAAATAATGGGTTATCGAGTGCTTTTCTTAATCTACTTTGATTTCATGAAAACTTTTAAATTCCCGTTCGACTACTTCTCTTACTAACCTAGAAAGTACAGATCTCATTAAATCTTTTACTTGGTGTTTTGGGACTATTATTATTTCATTAATGGCATAATTCTGGAAAATTGAAACATAACTTACAGTCTGTGTTATCAGTGCAAAAATATTTTGATTTATTTTTTGTTGGACGTAGTATTTATAGACTTCTTAAGAAGTTGTACTTAAACAGATAACATATTTACTCATAACTTGCTGATGTCAGCATGTGATTTTCAGGTCTACTTTCTTTACTAGTTACTCAACGTACAGTAATTGAGTTAAGGAACTATGGACACGTTGCTGTGTATACACAGATAAATACTCTAGTTTCAATATTTACGAATAATGATGTTTTCACACTAAACTTACATTAGTATTTTATAATCTGGATAGTTTAGAAGTTTTACATGTTGGAAAAGATCTTGAACTACAACAATTTGTTAAACTTCGTAAAATTAGCAAACAACTAATATTTTATTTGATACCAAAGAAAAGTAGTCAATATGTTGTAAATAACGTTTTACGACACTTGCATTATTACTCCAGTTTTTATTCATAACTGTTTACTTTAAATATTATTTTTATTCAATTCTTCATAGGCTTATTTTTATCGTTAATATAATAATAGCCCACGAAACTACCCAAACGCGTTTGTAGAATACTTTACGTAGAAAAGGCTAGCCCTAATCGTTGCAATTTTTTTTTGTAGTAACAAAAATATCCAGAAACTTAATAAAATACGTACTATGATTATTCAATATTATATTGATAACTTTAGGGGCATTAGCAAATAAAAAACATAATTGCTTTGTTGATGTTCCATCGATGATACAATATTAACGCATGAAACACATTATTTCAGTAATGGTGTTTCACAATACAAAATTTAGTTTTAGTACTTTTAGAGGCTATAAAGAGAACAATAACATTAAGTTATTCCAAAGAAAGAGACAGACTTAAAAATACGAATTTTTCACCCCACAAATCAGGCTAGACTAGAACCGTTTTTTTTTTTTTTTTTTTTTTTTTTTTTTTTTTTTTTAAATGCGCTGGTCTTTCCTACGCTAATAACATAAGGCTTTCACTAAAATGATTATTTAATGATTATTTTCTAATAAGTGGCTGCTCAAATTAATTACTATTAGTAATTTACTAATTTCGATTGGCTGTGCGAACACTATAAAAAACGTATGGTAGGTAAAG